TTCCGAGTAGAGACAGGAGCGGAGGATGGCTTTTGCCATGGCGATTTTGCTGCTTGTAGTAGGACTGAAGACATAGGTAGTGCCACTACGGATGAAGTGTCGAGTTGTACCACATCATAAAGGGAGTCGGTGGATTGTGGAAGCTTCTGTACAATTGAAAGGCCTAAAGGGAGGGAGCGGCGGCGCAGGGGATTTTTCCCCTGCTTAACTATAACATCTGAACTGCCAAGCTTTGGCAGTTCTAGCCCCGTGCTGGTGTGAGCAACCAAGCCTTGTCCTAGCTCATCGTCTACCCAGCGATTCGAAAGCTTTGGCAAGTAGATAAATTGGGGACCACCCATAAGGTGGTCTGGGAAGGTGTTAGCTGCCGAGTGTGACTTCTGAAGGCATGACGAGATCGAAAGATGAAAGAGCTTCCCTGCAGTGGAGCGAGTCGGCCAGGCGGTGGCAGTGTGGCAGCACGACATCAAGAAGCCCTGACGTCATCAGCCAGCCGACAAGAATACATGGAGCCTGAGAGACGGAGCCAGAGCGATCTATGCGTCGATGGGCCCGCTGACTCCAAAAAGACCACTGAGGAGCCTGAAGAAAGCGGATGGGAGAGGCCGAGCCGAGCTGACGAAACATCAAGCCGAATCCCACTGGGTGCTGGTAGGTAGTCTCCCCCTTAATAATATATATGTTGCCCATAGATAGGGATGATCTACTATGTAAGCCGCTCAGAGACCCCGTGGGAGGGGTTCGAGCGGGGTAAAAATCGAATGTTAAATAAAAAATTTAAAAATAAACATGACTGATCCAGCCCGCAGATGAAGCCCCGGCTACCTGCAATGTGTGTGTAATTAAAAATGCTGTATGTTTGTCTTCCCTATCCCCCATGAATATTGTTAGTCCAATTGTCAAAGAGTAACTGTAAATCGCTCTGAGCCCGCAGGTGTGTAGGAAAGAGCGATTAATAAATCGAAAGTATAAATATAAATAAATACAAAGAATTGGCCATTCTTTTCACCAAATCAGTGTAAGATGTAAGAATCTCTGAGGGAGAAATTGGCAAATCCTGTGACACATCAGGGTTTGGAGATGTGTGATCAGGAGATGTGGGAGCCTCAAAGGCGTCGGAATCGGAATCCTCGTTAGGAGTATCTGAGGAATCTTGTTGTTCCGTGTCTTGCTGGTGGGTTATGGGTTTAGACGGAGCTGCAGGTATAGCGGATCTTGTTTGAATAGTAGGTACCTTAAGGCCTTGGCTCCACAGTTAGTTGAGGAGGCCAGGTGAGTCTGTTCCACCACAGGAGAACGTGAAGACTGTGTTTTAACAGGAGACCAGGACCTGTGACCAGAGTGATAGGAGTAACGGTCCCACTCAGAGTAGCCAGCAGGAGTTAACCACGGCATGGGTGGATGGTATGGCCCATACAAGTATCGCATCTGCCTCTCATCCCAAGACATTGGTGGAGGTGGGGGGGTTTGTGGGTTTTTTTTGGGTTTTTGACGACAAAAAAGAAAGTAAAACAAAAATGAAGTCGACGAAGGAGAACTGAGAAGAGCTGAGAGGCCGAAAGCGAAAGCTACAGCGAGCCGATCAGAGCTAAGGAAAATAGGTCTTTCCAACACGGCAGTAGGAAAAGAACTGGCGGGATGTCTGCGCCCACCCCTCTGGGCATGCGCAGTGGGGTTCCTGCGCTTGCCTGAGGGAATGGGCGCGAAAATCCGTTAATATAGAGCTTGCTACAGCACCGATCGATCCAGCGCAGGCGCACTAGATCCCATTGGTGTGAAGCACAGAGACCACGAAAAAGATCAGCCCTGTGATTGAGGAGAACGAGATCGACGCCGCAAAAAATCCTCCCTGTTATCTAAAATGTGGATAAGCAGTTCGGAGTCTGTTGTGACGGATTCCAAAAAGGGAACACCTAGAGAAAAGCGATGTGTGGACACAGGGCAGCGTGGAGAGATGGAATGTTTGGGAGGTTGATGGGCAGAAAACGGACAGGGAGGTGGTTGGAGGTGGAAGAGTGAGTGAGGAGGTTGTGGGGTTGGAGGCTAACAGCCATTGGGACCTGACACATTTTGGGAAGAATCCCAGAGAGCGGTTTAATTGTTGGAACATAGGGAACGTGTATCTGATTAAGGTTGTGCTGGAGGAAAATGTGAGATGTCGCAGTAAAGCTGTTTTATTCTTATAAACAACGGAGTCCGGTCACTAATTTCCACCGGTTTTAAGAGCCTTGGAGTGAACCAGGAGAGTTTCATCATGAAGAACAAAACCAGTGGGTAAGTGGTCCCCGCTACTACCCGAAGCTAGCAGAGTCCCTCGTAAGAGTGGTGTCCAAAAGGTGGTGGCCTGTAAGAGCCCGTGACAGCAGGGTATAAATCCAATCTCCTCCTCCCCTCCTCCTCCTCTTTGTGGAGGGCAGTGACCAGAATCCCATAGAGTCCACCTTCCAAAGTGG